TGTTTATATTATGTAAATAATATGAATCTCCATTAGACAAGAATATTTCCTTCTTGTTGAGGTATGCCTGAATAATAACCTAATAATAAATAATAATAAATAATAATAAACAAGCTAGTTTGACTAAGAAAATTCAGTGATGTGTTTGGCTTTTAAACTTAAATAAGAAAATGTTATATTTAGCAGATAAAGCCCTGTGATGTGTTTGACTTTCTGGTATGGCAAATAAATGTGCATGAAACAGCAGTTATACAAGATAGCTACCAAATTTGCTACCTAAATTACAATACAGCTAACTGACCCAAGCAAGGAAAATACAGGGGCGTGGCAAACTGAGACATTAGTCTAACAACTTTGTGTGCCACTTATTTGTAATCCCACCCTTCACATTGGGATTGCCGAAAATATTGTTTCAAAATTTATATTTATCAAACAAAAGTAAGAAAAAATAAACAGAAATTTCATCTTACTTAACAGTTATTACATTGTAATTACTTTAAATTCTGGGGTTTCCCCAACCCACCTTGTGATATTGGACTTGTTACATTTCCACATGGAGCACAGGTTTAGGAAGCTCGCTAATTGTATTTTAACAACAATTTGGCATACACATTCTTTTTATTTTAAATAAACAGTTTATTATGTGAATTACTATGTTGATTGCGTACATAAATACATTACATTACACACTTATTAAGTTTATTTAGGCGTGTTCTCATCCCCCCTCTCAGATAATGATACGGTCCAAATCGCATGCCCACCCAAACCGTTCATTCCAAGCAAATTTGAAGCTACCTTGCAAAACTGTAGTTCCATGCGCATGTACCTTAAATAAGAAAATTTTATATTTAAAAGATTACCGGTAAGGCCAGTGAAGTGTTTGGCTCAACTTAAATAATGTTTTTTATATCCTATAGGTAACTCAAGGGATGAAAGATTAAATATCAATGCATGTGGTTGGACTCAAACTTACAAAACTCTTACATCAAAACAAAGACATGGACTGAAAAAAGGTTACAGTACTGGCTGCGGAGAATGTCGGGTAAGTCAAACCTACAAAACTCTTACATCAAAACAAAAACTTGGACTGAAAAAAGATTACAGTACTGGCTGCGGAGAATGTCGGGTAAGTAAAACCTAAAAACTTGCATCAAAACAAAAACATGGACT